TCGCGGGCCGGGGTGTGAGATCACCACACTCAGTGCCCGTGACTGTCCGCGGAGGCAGAGAGCGTGTGCACGCATTTGTGTCTCGCCACGACCCTCTGTGACAGCGTGGGGCTCCCCATGTGACCGCACGGGGCTCCCCAGCCCTCCAGCACCAGGGCGCTGCGTGGGTTGCTGGCGACCAGTCAGGGCGCCCGCTGGAGAAAGGACCTGGTGAGCCTCTGTCCAATGGCCCCAAGGCGCCGGGAAGATGTGGGGAGGGGGCAGAGGGGTAGAGGAATAAAAGGCGCGTCCCTTGGGCTGGGCAGCAATTGGCCCCGGCTGCAGGGTCCTCCCCTGGACTGGGCAACGATTGGCCCTGATGCGGACTTTCCCCAGAGCTGAACAGCGATTGGCCGTGATTTCGGGCTTTCCCCAGAGCTGGGCAGCGATTGGCCCTGGCTGCGGGCTCCTTCCCTGGGCTGGGCAGCCATTGGCCCTGGCTGCGAAAAATGCTCTCCTCCCTGACAAATCAGAGATATGAGGAGGAATGGCCTGTCCTGACTCTTCTACAACACGCATGTAAGGTCTGCCTCAGAGATATTTCGGGCTCAGTTTCAGACTTCTGAGATAAAATGAGTCATAATCCTTTTGCTGGTGGAGGGTCTTTTTAAAATAAAATAAAAAGTATCTTTATTGTTGAAAGTATTACAGATGTCCCCTGTGTGCATGTGTGTTTTTCCCCAGTGACCCCCTTCACCCTGGTGCCCACCCCTCCCAGGCCCTCACCACTCTATTGCCTGTGTCCATGGTTATACACAATGCATACAGGTTCCCTGGCGAATCATTCTCCTCCCACCCCCCCAACTCCTGGCCTTCCCTGGGGGAGGGTCTTCTTGCTTTCCATTTGTAAAACTCCCAACACCTGTGAAAGCGCAAATAAAGTGAAGCTCAATAAAGCAAAGCGAAACAAAATGAGCTATGCCTGTATCAGCTAAGATTCCGACACCCTGTTCTATTTCTCTGTCAATTCAACGTGATTCCAGGAAGGAAGAAAGGTAAACATGCATTCTACTAAGCTTTCTTGAACTGGGAGTGTGCTTTTTTACTAGGAAAAGTTGTGTTTTTCAAGTTGTTTTATGGAATGAAATTGGATTGTAATAGGCATTTATTTTTTAGTGAGCACAGAATATTACACAGTTTGAGGTCAAAAGGTGACGGGGGCTTTGCCCAAAGTTACATGGCCAGTGAGTAAGGAGATTGTTCCAGAACCCCATCTGATTTTAGCGGCTCTTTCCTGCTTCAAAGACAGATGCTCTTTCATGAAAAACCTGGTGAATGCAGGCACTGAATAAAGCTCATTCCAGCACACCATTGAACAGGGAGCCAGCACCTCTTATGTTCACGGGTACCCTAAGCTTCACATGCCCCTCACACTCAGACTTTGAGGCCCAGGTGATTGGGAACATCTCCCTGCCTTCAGCCACATCACCCTAATCGAGCATCCACATCAGCACCTAGAGCTGCCCCTTCTTCAACAGCTGCCTCCCCTCCACCAACACTCAGACTTTGAGGCCCACGTGATTGGGAACTTCTCCCTACCTCCAGCCACATCGCCCCAAATGCAGCATCCATATCAGCACCTAGAGCTGCCCCTCCTTCAACAGCTGCCTCCCCTCCAGCCTGTGGAGACAGCATCCTTCATTCACTGTCTTCTCTGGATGGATGTGAGTGGTTCCCAGCCTTAGGTTATTCACACAGTGACACAGGGGATACCCTTGTCCATGTGTCACCCTACTCAACAGTTAGGCACCCACTAAAAGTGGCATTGCTAGGGCACAGAGTGCATGCATTTTAATTTGTGTGGGTATTGCCAAATTTCTCTGCTAGACATGGTAGCAATAGAGTCTCCCCACAACTCCTGGACACAGGAAGGGAAGGTGGCTTATCCTGATTTACATACATTACTAAGTTACCAGACTGTGTCCCTTATCACGGCCATCACAGGTGTAAGTGGCTCCATCACCACTCAGATGTGCTGCCTGCTGGTAGAGAGCTCATTCTCCTTCCCTGAGCTAATTTCCCAGGTTATGCCCTGATTAAGCAAGCAGCAGTGAGAAAGGTCATGGGTCGTGTCTTTATGGTGGCATTTACTCCTACAGCCAGTGCTGAGAGGGAGGGTCCATTGTTGCCCCTTTGTAAGATGAGGACAATGATGCTCAGAGAGGGGACCTAAGGTTTGAGCAGGATGGGAACTAAGGTTTGAACCCCAAACAATGAAAATTATTTCACTACTTGATATTAAACAATAAGAAGTATCAGGAATTTGGGGGTTTTTAGTGAATAGAGAATATCACGAACAGTTTTCATTTCCCTTTCTTACTTATCCTGACTTTGTAGCATTTCCCGTCAGAATTTCTTCTGTGAAGAAAAACAGTCCCAAAATGAAGGCTGTGCAGGGCTCACAGGAGCAGCAGGTGATACCAAGTCCTGTAGGGAAGGACAGCACCTGCCTCTGGGGGTGTGGGATCATCCTGAGAGGAAGCATCCTGATGTCTGGATGCATCAGGTTTCCTAGGAGCTACTGCCACAGATGGTGCTCATCTGTTTGGCCCTCCTCAAACGCCCGTTCTTTTCCTCCTTCTCCATGAGAAATAAATGTGTTTCTTTATAAACCTGGCCCGTCTCTAGGTTTAGTGGGGACATTCAAGCCATTGCAATTCAAACCCTAGTCCAGCACCTGTGGCTTCTCTGAAGCTTTATTTCCGTGCCGGATGCCCATAGAACATATGCAGCTGAGTCCATTCATCCCTAAAGCTTCTGATTGCTTCCCATTCCTTGTTGGTAAACTTTCCTTTCATACTCAGAAGGCATTCTG